CCCCCCCCCCCCAAACACACACCTGCACTGCCATCAGGCTCTGTGTCTTCCTTGGTCAGCTGTCTCTCCCACTCACTCTCTGTTTTTAGTTTTATTCATTTCAAATGGGCCAGATCCGGCCCGTAGGCCGTAGTTTGCCCACGGCTGGCCTAGAAGCTTCTCCACAGTCCTCACACTTCTGACCTTCCCTTTCCCCACCCTCTTGCTCCCTCTCTGCTCAGATATGAGAATACAGACCAGAAGCTATCAGAACAACTTCCTTAACCTCTCCACCCCTGAGCCCCACTCCAACTGCATCTGCCTCCCCTGCTGAGGTGGGAGGGCTTTCTCCCTGTCAAAGTGACCCCCTTGAACTCCCACCCCCCACTTCAGAGACTCTGCTCTCCGTCCTCTTTCTCCACTTCTCTCCTGGTGCGTTCCTGTTGCACATACAAGTGCCACTTTCTCCCGTTTATAAAAGGGGAAACATCTATGAATCTGTTTCTATGTTGTTTGTTAGCTCATTTTGTGTATTAAATCCCACACGTGAGTGAAATCATGTGGTACTTGTCTTTCTCTGACTGGCTTATGTCACTTGGCATAATGCTCTCCAGGTCTATCCATGCTGTCGCAAAGGTAAGATTTCCTTCTTTATGGCCGAGTGGTATTCCATTGTGTACATGTGGCATAGCTCTCTTATCCGCTCATTTTACTATGGACACATAGGTGCTTCCAAATCTTGGCTATTGTAAATAACATAGGGGTGCGCATAGACACAGACAAAAGTATGGCGAATGCCTGAGGGAAAGGGGGTGAGGGAGGCAGAAGAGGGTAAAGGGGGGATTAATGCTGGTGGAAGGAGACTTGACTTGGGGTGGTGAACACACAGTACGATCTACAGATGATGTATTATAGAATTGTACCCCTGAAACCTATGTGATTTTACTAACCAATGTCACCCCGATAAATCCAACTTAAACGTTTTAAAAAATAAAAATAAAAAGGGGAAAATAAATAAAAGCTTCTCTTGATCCCACACCTCGTTCCAGCTGCGGGTCTGTTTCTCTTTTTTCCCTTGACGCCAAGCATTCCGCCCTGTCACCCGGTTCCTCGCCCCCCAGCTGGACCTGCCCCTTGGGTCGGGGTTTGCCTTCACTGCCCGAGACACCCAGACACTCTTCAACCCCCCGGAGCTTCACCTTTCAGAGCGTCTGACTCTGTGATTGGCCCACCAGCCCTGAATCCCACTTGGCTTTGTCCCTGCCTCCCTGGTCACTCATCCTTAGTCACCAGCCCTACCCGGGCACCTCCTTTCTCCACAGGCTCACTGGCGGATCCCACTACCCCCTCGATTCCGTTACTGTCTCTTATGTTGGTGGCCCTACTTCTGTCTCCCAGACCCAGCGCCAACTCCCCCAGGCTCCTCCAACCCCACGTGTCCATCCACTGCAACACGCTGTCCTCCTCAAACCGGTCCCACTTGTGCCTCCATCTCATCACGTGGTACCTACATCCGCCTGGTTGTTTGAAACCAGAAAGCCGGGCACACATCCTGCAGCTCCCTTTCCCTCCCACCACATGCAGCCCCTCAATTCTCACGAAGCTGCCTCCTAACTCTCTCGGAAAGGACCCGCTTCTCTCGATGCCCACTGCCAACAGCCTGGTCCAAGCCGCCATCATCTCTCGCTGGACGCCAGCCACAGCCTCCTGATGGCTGCTTCTCCCCCAGAGCTCCAACCCAGCCTCGCCATGCAGCCGTGGGGACCGTTCAAAATCAGCATCTGTGGTCCTGCTTTGCTCAACCCTTCCTTCTGATGACAATGACCCTCTGCGTTGGCTCCCAAGTTTGCACCTGACCCACCTCATCTTGCTCCACTCTCTGCTCCAGCTGCAGACTTTGCTCAGCTCTTGAACATGCTATGTGCTGCCTTAACCCCAGGTGACCTCAGCCCATGTGTCCCATCGCCCACTGTGTGCCCAGCCAACTCTAACCCTTCCTTTAGGTCCCAGAAAATGCCACTTCCCTCAAGGCTCTGTTGGGGCTCCTCTACTATCTCCTCCCACATCCAGCTCAGTTGGTCCTACCCTAACACTCCTCATCCTTCATTTTCTATTCCCTGTTTCATTGTTGTGTTCACTGCTTCACCCTGAGCTCAGAGATGTCTGTCTCATTCATGGCTCTAACCCCAGCACCTAGCCCAGGGTGAGGGCGTCAGCGCTGAATAAGGATTTGTTAATTAATGGCCTAACTACACCCTCCTGTCCTGCCCTTTAGCCCCTCCCCTCACTGACCTCTGACATCTGTGGGAAGAGGCTGATGGCCAGAGGCAGGGCCAGGCCGAAGGCTGCCAGGCACACGAGGCTTTGCACAGGGAGGAGCAGCCGGGGACGCGCCTGCAGGAGAGCCGTCCTGTGGGGAGAGGAGGAGGCCAGCTGTGAGAGCTGAGATGGGGTGAGCAGCCCTGGGTCACCACACTGGGTCCCATCAGAATGCAGGACCAGGGCAGCATGGTTCCAGGCCAGTGCCAGCCCGTGACTAAATGGTTGCGGTGGAACTCTGCCTTTGCATCTTCCTCAAGCAGCACCCTGCCCTGAATGACATTGCTGGTTGAACTCTCACCCATAAATCATATATGAGCACTTGTGGGGGCCCTTCCCACACCCCACCGTGTGTCCAGCCCTGTGCAAACATGTGGGGGACACGACAGAGGAGGCTGTCACCTCTGGGCCTGGAGAGACACACAGGAGGGTAAGATCACCTTTGAAGCTAGCACATGATGAAATAGCAAACAAACCAGAGTAGGTGCCAAGTGCAGGGGAAGAGTCAGACCACACATACACGGGCACATACATGTGCACACATACACACACACACATATAACTTCACTGTGTTGTCCATCAGAGCCTTTTACACACACATATACACATATACACACATGCACACATGTATCTTCACCGTGTTGTCCATCAGAGCCTTATACACCCACACATGTATACACACTCACACACGTGCACACATGCACTCACACATACCCATATATACGCATACACATGTACATACACACATATATACACACAGCTGGGAGGGGATGGCCCCCTTCTGTGTGTGGGAACAGAACATACCCCACTGACTATTTCATCAGCTTCAATCCAAGAGCCACAGAGAGGGGCAGTGACTTGCCCAAGGCCAAGGCTAGATCTGCTGGAGGCCAGCTGGCTGCTGCCTGGACTCCTGACTCCCTGCAAGTGCTGCCCCCCCGTGCTGCTCCTGGCTCCCGCCTTCAGGACCCAAGTTTCATCGCCAGCACGTCACAGCTGACACCCACTCTCCAGGACAAGCTTCGAAGATGGGATTCCCGGGCAGGAGAGGGGTATGAAAAACCTCCCTCCAGGCCCGGGGACCCCCACATCCATGACAAAAAGGGCTGTCCAGACAGATTGGGGGCATACCAACTGGCAGACATTCCTTCGCTGTGTTGTCCACTGTAATGTATGGTGAAGACCCTGAGCCTCTGCTTGGGGAGGTCTAGGGTAGGGTGCGCCAGCAGGGTGGATGACTGGACCATTTGCCAGGGGATGCTGGGTGGGCTAAGTCTGACCTCAGTCACTGTGTCAGCTTCCACAGGCCTGTGACCGGCTCCTGGTATGAAGACGATGTAACCCGGGCTCTTGCCAGAGCAGGACTGCCTGTGGCCACTGGCAGGTGAGAGGCCCTCCTGGGGGCAGGGCCTCGGTGGGGGGCGGGTAAACCCCACACCACCTTCACCTGTTGGGACAAGAATCCCAGGAGCACTTGGCCTGGGGCAGACAGCTACTAGGGAGCAGCAGTTCTCAAACTTGGTGTCTAGGCAGCTGGTTGAAAATGCAGACACCCAAGGGTCCCTTCCCCATGAAATCCTGATTCACTTGGTACAACACCTGGGAACCTGCATTTCAAACAACCTTCATGAGTCTAAAAGAGGGGATCGGTCCCAGTCATTTCTGAGAAACCCTGGTCCAGGATGCTCCTGCTAGGGAACCAGTAAGATCCAGGTACTTGTTAATTCTATGCAAGTGAAAGGCCTGGACAGAGTCAGTGCTGAGTAATTGTGCGTTGTTATTGCCCTCGTCTGTGCAGGAAAGAGGGGGGATCCTCCAGCCCTTCCCACCAGCCCAGACCTCAAGATCTGTCCAGCTGTTGAATTAAGCCCGAATTGAGTTGCTGGAGCGGGAGTTTCCACAGCATCAAGAGTTGCAGGACAAAAGTGTCTGAATCAAACTCAAGCCCATCTGACCTCCCCCATGGCCTCGGTCCAGTGGCCCCATGCTCTCCCTCTCCTCCACGCAAGCCTCCCACCGGCCATGGACTCGGATCAGGCCTCCTGGGCTTCCACGGGAGTCATGGAGGGGCCAGGAGAAAGGCTGAGATGGGCCCTGAGACCTTTTTAATGAGGATCAATCTCTCCAGCAGGACAAGGGGGTGGGATACAGGGCTCACCCTCCGGACTTGCACACAGACCTGGAGCCCGGCTCTGCGAGGCTTTGGAAGGCAGGCAGGACCTCATCCCCAGGGGTCGCTGAGGGCAAGGAAGGTGCCAGGGAGAAAGCAGGTGGCAGGTAAGGGGCAGGCCATGAACTCATCCTTGGGAACTCCAGAAGGCCCCCCTTCTATGTGGGGCCGTGACGCTGGCTTCTCTCTCAGGGTGGCTGGCTGAAGTCCCCACGGGGAAGGGGACTCAGGGACTCCAAGAAGGAGGCAGGCCTGAGACTGCAGCCAAGCGGGAGCCTCCGTAGCAGTCCCAGCCCAGCCCAGGCACTAGACTAGAGTGAACACAGCAGGACAGGGGGAGGGGAGAGAGGTGGGAAATGGCAGGGAGGGGTGGGAAAGGCAGCTGGGGGAATTAGAATATGCAGATGGAGAGATGTGCGACTGACTGGGACAAAGGAAAGACCCGGATCCCAAGGAATGAAGGAGGCAGGAGCGGCCCCAGGAACCACCGTGGAGGGTGTGAGCTGAAGCCCAGACCCAGCTGAAACCCAGGCTGGGGTGAGGGGTGAACTCCAGGGGCGGGGTGGGGGGCTGGGGGCGGAGAGCCCCGCACTTGCCTGGGAGTTAGGGAGACTGTGAGGCAGGGGCCCATCTCCCAATCCCCCAGCCTGGGTCCTAAAACCAGCCTCCTCCTCAGCAGCGAGGCTGTGCCAGTGAGAGGATGTGTGCTGGGGGGCGGGCACCCTCAGAGGGAGGCCCGCGCTGTGGGCTGGGAGCTGGGGCTCCTCTGCTTCTGACTTCAGACACCTTTCCTTTTCTCAGAGCCAGGGACACCTGCACGTCCTGGGGCCCACTCCCTCCTGCAGGAAACCCAAGACTTCACGCAGGTCAGAGGGTTCCTCGCAGAGAGGAGAGACTGAGGCCACAGGCGAAGGGAGCTGGGCCCCAGCCCCACACACAACCAACAGCTCCTATCCCCACTGCTGTGCATTCCTCAGCACTTGGAGCAGTTCGAGTTTGCGCTCCATTAATTTGCAAGCAGGCTGCTCGGTAAGTGTTCTTTTGTCTTTTTCCTCTGGCTCCCTCACTGAGGGTGGGGCCACCTCCCCACCCCCTCCTCAGCAGGGCCCTGCCACTAGCACCCCGCATGGGAAGGCCATGGGGTGCTCAGTGGGGCCCCTGCAAGGAGCCAAGGGCCTGCCGGATGCCAGGCCCCAGGGGACAAAATGGAGAAGCTGGCAGAGTGAGCATCCTCCAGGTGGGAAACTTGAGGCTGAGGGAGTCTCTTGAACCAAACCGGCCCAATAGTGGCAGAGCAAGAACCCAGAGTTCGTTTTCCTACCAGGAGTCTCAGCAGGTGCTGCTACACTGGCCCTCCCACCGCCCAGTCTTGCAGTGCCCCCATGTCTGTGAATTAGTAAGTCTTTGAGGGCACAAACTGGGTCTTCTTCGTTTTGATATTCCTGGGGGGACCCGGGCTGGACTCTTCCTTCTCCCCAGAGACTGTCCAAGAGGCCTCAGGGAAGGACCAGCCAAGTACAAAGCCAACCTGTCTCTACGAGCCCAAGGGGCTTCTTTGGACCTTGAGCTGAGCCAGACTCATGGCAGCCAGGCTCTGAGCAGATCCCAGGCCAGGGAAGTTCAGAACTAGAACCATCCCACCCACCTTCGTGCCTCTCAAAGCCGAGTTTAAGCTCCCAAACAAATGGGACACTAAGGGTCACTGCACTTTCTGGAAACTCAACTCAGATGCCAACCAGGAAGGCCTCACAGACCACATCTCCCCCCAGGAAACTCCAGGCTCAGGACTTGGTCATCTAGAAGACAGAAGCCCTCCTTCCCACTTTCTCTGTGGTGTCTTGTGTACTGCAGTGGCTGCTATTTGGGGACAGCCTCAGTTCACAAGGCAGCTCGTATACAAGGCTCGGGGGCACAGAAGCAATTGCCTTCCCAGGATCTGTTTAGTTTTGCAACTTACATGCGAGATTAATTGTCTTATATCCCTGGGCTCAATTTACCGTGCCCTGACCAGGTGCTCCACCCTCACACCTGGCAGCAGGGGAGGAGAGGGGAGGTGTAAGGTTGGAGCACACTTTGCTTCTGTTGGGCCGGACTCCTTGCTGTCTACGCAACAGGCCCACGTGTGGCCCAGAAAGCCCTCCCTCCTGCCAAAGTCCCATTTTGCTCTCAAAGTCAACTGCAGCCCCTCTCCTGTGGACCAGCCTTCCTTGCTGCCGGGCCCATAGTGCTCCCTCCCCTCAAGGTCACCTTGATCCTGTTCACACATTGCCCCTTCCCACCTGCAGCTGACTTGTGTGCGGGTCCACCCATCTCCCATATCATGATACAGGCTTTCTGAGGTCAGGCCCCCAAATCTGCTCTTCCCCAGTCTCCATGCAGGGCAGGACCCAAAGACATACTGGTTATGTGAGGTGATCTGAAGAACCAAGAGGCAGCCAGAGTGGCAGGAAGAGCACACTCCTGCCTCTGCCATTTCCTAGGGTACAACTGTAAGCAGGTGATAAACCCTTCGCCTTCCTTTCCTCAAGGAATATGGTAAAACCAGATACCATATTTACCTCATTGCACTGTTGTGAAGGCTAAATGATTCACTTCATTTCATTCATTCATTCACTCATTCATTCATTCATTCAACAACACGGAGCATCTACTATGTGCTGGGAACTGTGCTAGATGCTTTGCAGGGCAGTAAATAAAAGGGATTTACTTGTCTTTGTGAAGATTACATTCTAGTGAAGCGGACAGATAATAGACAAGCAGATAAAGAATCTCAGAAATTGCTAAGTACTGTGAATAAAAATAAGGCAATGTGACGGGAGTGGGGTGTCTGTTAGCTCCATGGGTCGGTCAGGGAGGGCCTCTTTGGGGTGGGATTTGGGCAGAGGCCTGGCTGAGAGGACTGGGAAGCAGTCAAGTGCTTGATGAATATTAGCTGTTATTATCATTCAGTGTTGTGGGAATAAGGTCTCCATGCTGAGGAGAACATCCTGCCCCAGAACCCCAGAGGGGGTGCCCCCAACCCTTCCCTTATCTTATGCCACCCCTAGGCCCAACTGAGCTCACCCCCAGGAGGGAGACAGCTGTCACCTCTGTATTATTTGCACCCCAGGGGTCTGCACCTCCAGGCTTTTATTCATCTTGTTCCCCCCACCTAGGCCCTTCCCCACTCCTTTCCTCCTGGATTCACCCTAATCCTGCCCAGACCACGTGAAGATGGGCCCTGGCCCCTCCCCCCTCCCTGCTCAGCTCCTTCTCCTTCCGGCAGCACTTCAGTCCTCACGACTCAATTTCACACCCATTAATTAATACAACCACTCTACCACTGTTTTGTTATTGTGTTCCCTCATTTCTTTCCAGTCATGGCAAGCCCGTGTTCTCAGAGCATCCCTCTGAGGGAGGCAGGAAGGTTGGGACTGTCCGTGTTTTAGAAATGGAGAAACTGAGACTCCGCGGCAGTGTCTGCCTCATGGTGGATGCCTGGAAGGGGTGGTGCTGGCTCCATATTTAGTCCTCACACTCTTCACAACTGGTCCTGCCCTGTGCAGCAACAGCATGTACACA